GGGGTCCCCAGGCAGGATTACTGGCTTTCCTGTGGAGGGTCTGGGGTGGGAAATACATATGGGTGCACAGCTGAGGAGCTGAGAAACCAGTGGCCTTGCTACAGGGGGGTGGGGGGGTGCACCGGCACAGAACTGGACTGGTGCCAGCATCCAGTGGGGAGGGCTTCGGGACTCTGCTCGATATCCTATGAGAAGCAGAGTGGCCCCACAATGAGTTTCTGGGTCCCAGAGGCTGAGATACCCTGCTCCTTAAGAGCTCAGAATAAGGGGGTGTCGACATCCCCACTACCACTGGGGCAGCTTTTGGGGCCTGTACCTTTAGAGGCCCATTCCTCTTGATGGCCAGGCACTTTGTGGTTCACATATTTTTCTTTCTTGCCAGACAGGCCTGTCCAGGGTGCCTGGCCGAGGGTGCTGGGGCTCTCCTTACCCTGCCATCAGGCAGGATGGTCGCAGAGACCCTGCTCCCTCCACCCGTTCCTGCTCCTTCCTCAGCTCCACTAGAACCCCTAGAACCCTAGGCCTCAGCTCCCCTCACTGGCTCCTGCTGTTAATCTCTTCCCACCCCGTCCGGCTACCTGTGGGGTCCTTCTCAGCCTTCTTTCCTGCCTTCTTCCCCTTGCACGTGTACACTAGAGCTCGTAAGACTGGCCTCAGGCCCCTCGTCCATTGCCCTTCTACTGCCCGAGGATGAAAACATGCTAGGAATCTCTAGTATGTACTTGTATATCATTAGTGTTCAGTAAAATCTGTTGAAGAAATGAGTGAATGAGTGAGCAAACAGGAGAATGAGTGCATGAATACACTAGCAATTCCAAATTAGATCTCAGGCTTGGGTCCTGTTCTTGAGATGCAGGGACTGCACAATTTAAAACTGGCTGGGCAGCCCCTCCTGCTGTTTCCGGGGCTCCCCTCTCGGGACTATCCCACCACCCACCCAGCTGCTCACAGGACTCCCTCATCCTCGCCCTTCATGCACTCAGTCACTAATCAGTTCTACTTCCTTCCAACTCTGGAATCCTGCTGCTTCTCCCAGCCCCCACCGGCCCTCACAGGGACAGCAGCCTCCCAAGCAGTCCCCCTTGTCCACCCACTGTCCCCACGGCACAGCAATCTTTACAGGCAGGATCAGGCCACACCACCCCCCTGCACAGGCCGGCCCCTCCCCCACCCTCTGGTTTCTATCAAAGTGAACGCTCCCTGCTTGTTCCTGCCTTGAAGCTCAGCAAGGCTGAGCCCTCTGCCCGGATTCCTCCCTCACCCCCAGGCCCCTCAGGATGGCCTGGGACCTCCTGGGACCAGATGGGTGCAGAAGCTCTCCAGCACCCTGGGCGGCCCCGCCTTCATCCCCACGCCCAAGCCCCCTCTCATCTCACACAGACCAGGGCTGGGCCAGGGGCCAGGGGCAGCTGAGACCCCTGAGGAAAACGCCAC